GGGTCCGAATGCCTGCGGAAGTTCACACTTAAATCCTGCACTAGGGTCGTATGTATGATGCAGAACTTGGTGCAGAACCTGGTGGAGTGCCCAAGGCACTTGAGCTGTTTCTAGGAGTGCAAGGAGAGCCGCGGGCGGCAGCGGGGCAGGGGATGGGAGTTGAGAAGCGTGGGAACGAGTTGAGAAGCTTGGGAGCAGGAAAAAGGCCGGAGCTACTTAGGGTACATTCCACTTTTGCTTGGCGCCGGGTAGGAACCCTGCTGGAAAGGAAGTAACGTGTGTTTGTCTTGTTTGCTGTTGTTTTACAAACAGAGAAAACGAGGTTGAAAATGGGGAATGAATTCCTTAAGGTCAAGAAAAAGCATCGGTATTCTAACCTGCCTATCTGGAAGATAAGGTTAGACTTCCCTACAGGAGGCACTGTGGCTTACCCCATGGGGCTTTAAAGGTGTGAGGCTTAGAGATCCATTATTCCAACCCGTGCGTGGTGCACCCTCCCCACTCCGACAAATCCATATTCTACAGATGGAGAAACCGGGGCCCAGATAAAGGATGTGCCCGAGGTCATACAAAGAAGTTTGTGGGAATCCAGGTGTGACTCCCACTCAATCCAGTGCTCTAATGATGATGTGAGTAAATTGTTTTAATGTGCTCAGAGGTGGAGCAGCATTCATAAAAATAATAATGGTACCATTTATGGACCATCTAACTACCGTGTTAAAACAGTTTACATATATTATCGAGTTCAATCCTTAATCCCATAAGGCAGATAGATACCCTATCTTCCTTTTACATAAAAAAGAAACTGGGCCAGAGAGATTAGAAACTTGCCCAAAGGCATGCGGCCAATAATAAGTAGGGGAACCCAGGATTCAAACTATCTGACTAATCCCTGCAATCATAACAATATGCTATACTGTCTCAGAAAGAGGCTGAAAAAATCAGGTTTCGATTGTTAGCCTAAAGTCCACTCCGATGTTGATAGAGAAAAATCTGGGGCTCTGCCAAACTTAATATTATTATTTTTGACGTGAAACCTTCGTGTTTTCTATTTCCAATTACCTTGGAAAATAAGGAATTGAATATGCTTAGATTAGAGGTAGGGAGTTCCCAGAAACCATAGAAAGGGTTGTCTAGTGTCAAGCTAGTCAGGGTCTTAAATGTTAAGGTGAGGACTTTGTACTTTATCTGCTAGGCATTGTGGAACCTGTGGGGTTTCTGTGTAGGGAAGAACCAAACAAAACATATCTGAGGGGTGAATATGGCCAGTAATTTGCAACCTCTGGACTAATGGTAGCTGTAGAGAAGGATAAAGGAATTTGTACATTTAAAAATAAAGGATTTGTGGGCATAATAGTCCAAGAAAAAGACAGGAAAAGAAAAATAAAGGATTTGGGCTGGTGTCGTGGCTCACGTCTGTAATCCCAGCACTTGGGGAGGCTGAGGTCAGGAGTTCAAGACCAGCCTGCCCAACATGGCAAAAACCTGTCTCTACTAAAAATACAAAATTAGCCAGGTGTGATGGGGCATGCCTGTAATCCCAGCCACTTTGGAGGCTGAGGCAGGGGAATCTCTTGAACCTGGGAGGTAGAGTTTGCAGTAAGTGAAATCATGTCACGGTACTCTAGCCTGGGTGACAGAGGGAGACTTTGTCTCAAAATAATACTACTAAAATAAAGGAATGAAGGAAGACAATGGAAATAATACAGACATGGATCTTGAAGTGGGAGGTACTCCGATATATATAGTCAAGTGGAATGATTACAAAAAAGGTCACATTTGGCCATTAAATATCAAATCATCGATGACTTTGGAGAGAGCAGGATCAGGAAAGTGGGTACTTGAGATCCATTTGGGAGGAACTGCAGAAAGAATGAAACAGGGAGAACGGGAAGCCAGCAAGCATAAGTGGCTTGTGTTGCCTATCCCCTGATAGCCTCTGTATTGGTTTACTAAAATTGCTGTAACAAAGTACCACAAACTGGAAGGCTTAAATGACAGAAATTGGTTGTCTCACAATTCTGGAGGTTGGAAGTTCCAGATCAAGGTGTCTGTCATCTGAGGGCTGTGAGGGAGAATCTTTTCCATGCCTCTCCCCTGGCTTCTGGTGGTTTGCCAGCAATCTTTAGCATTCCTTGGTTTATAGAAGAATCACCCTGTTCTCTGCCTTCATCTTCACTTGGCTTTCTTTCTATGTGTATGTGTGTCCAATTTTGCCTCTCTCTCTTTTTTTTTCAAACAGAGTCTTGCTCTGTTGCCCAGGCTGGAGTGCAGTGGCGTGATCTCGGCTCACTGAAACCTCCGCCTGCTGGGTTCAAGCAATTCTGCCTCGGCCTCCCGAGAAGCTGGGATTACAGGCATGCGCCACCACGCCCAGCTAATTTTTGTATTTTTAGTAGAGATGACGTTTCACCATGTTGGCCAGGATGGTCTTGATCTCCTAACTTCATGATCTGCCTGCCTCGGCCTCCCAAAGTGCTGGGATTACAGGTGTAAGCCACTGTGCCTGGGCCAATTTTCTCTTTTCATAAGAATACCAATCATACTGAATTAGGGCCCTGACCTCATCTTAACTAATTTATTATTATTATTGAGATGGAGTCTTGCTCTGTTGCCAGGCTGGAGTGCAGTGGCACTATCTCGGCTTACCGCAGCCTCCACCTCCTGGGTTCAAGTGATTCTCATGCCTCAGCTTCCCCAACAGCTGGGATTACAGGCACGCACCACCACACCCAGCTAATTTTTGTATTTTTAGTAGAGATGGGGTATCACCATGTTGTCCAGGATGGTCTCGATTTCCTGACCTTGTGATCTGCCTGTCTTGGCCTCCCAAAGTTCTGGGATTACAGGTGTGAGCCACTGCGCTCAGCCCCATCTTAACTAATTGTGTCTGCAATGACCCTATTTCCTAATAAGGTCATATCTGAAGTACTGGGAGTTAAGATTTCAACATCTGGCTGGGCATGATAGCTTACACTTGAAATCTCAGTGCTTTGGGAGGCCAAGGCTGGAGGATTGCTTGAGCCCATGAGTTTGAGTCTAGCTTGGGCAACATAGTATCACCCTGTCTCTAAAAAAATACAGAAAATATTAGCCAACCTGGTGCTGCACACCTGTAGTCCCAGTAGTCCCAGGTACTTGGGAGGGTGAGGTGGGAGGATTGCTTGAGCCCAGGAGTTTGAGGCTGCAGTGAGCCATGACCACACCAATGCATTCCAGCCTCAGTGACACGGCGAAGACCCTGTCTCAAAAGAAAAAGCGGGTTGTCTTTTTGTTTTTGTTTTGAAATAGAGTCCTATTCTGTCACCCAGGCTGAAGTGCAGTGGTGTGGTTTTGACTCACTGCAACCTCTGGCTCCCAGGTTCGAGTGATTCTTGTGCCTCAGCCTCCCAAGTAGCTGGATTACAGGCATGCACCACTGCGCCCAGCCAAAAAGAAAAAAGACTTTAATGTGAATTTGAGGGAGAGGAGAGGAATATAATCCAATTCAATTCATAATATCCTATTGGTGGGAACCCAAGCAGAAACCAAAGCCCAAGGGAATGCTTTAATGCAAGCCACATGAATCAGCCTTGCTGAGCATAGGACAAGATGGAGAAGGGTGGGGAGTAGGTCTGGGTGGGACAAATGGATGACATCCAGTATACCCACTCTCCCTGATTCCTCCCCAGCTATGTGAAAGGCTCTGACTTTACTCCTAGGGACCTAAAACTGGAATGGGCGGAGCATGAGCTTGAGCTGTCTGTCCCCCTGGCTCTCATTGCTACCTGCCCATAGGTCAGCTACATCCCTCTACCAAAGGCCACAGCTTCTGCCAGGCAGCCCTCTCTTACAGCTACTCTCTGGTGATCTGGGAACCACTCCCTCCCTTACCCCTTGATGCACAGGGCAGATGCCAGCTCCTTGTTGTTAGCCTCAGAGGTACTTGCACTGTTCCTTGATGGTTTTCCCAAATCTTTCCCTCATTGTTGTAAATACTGTTTGCCCTTTATTACACTCCAATCAAATTACCCAATTTGAGTGTGCCTTCTATTTCTGCCAAGACCCTGACTGATACAATGGGTATGTTTGGAGCCAACAAAAAACAATGACAACAAAACCATTTGTTTGAGAAGGAGAATGTGTTAGGCGAGTCCATAACCAGAACTGTCTAAGCATATTTACTGCTGCATATGAACAGTTTAGAGGATGAGGACAGTTGGCATGGGGTTAAGGTAACCTTGCCCAGAAAGATTTCATTTGTTTAGAAAAAATTTATTGAAGGCCTGCTATCATGCACCAAGCAGTACTCTAGGTGCTGGGGGAAGACGACAAGTAAATCGGGGCCCTTTCCCTCAATGAGCTTACAATCTAGTAGCGGGGGACAGACATGTAGCCAGTTGGTTGCAGTAGAAGCCTGAGCTGGAGATAAGAACTTTGGAATGGTCAACATATAATAAAGGCAGAGAATAGACGGGATTGAAGACTCTGTTAAGAAATGGAATCTTGAAGGACTGTAACAATTGGAAGAAATGCTAGAAGAAGAGAGTAAGAAGGAATAATTACAACAGTAGTTCAGATATATTAATCATTTACTATGTCCTAGGCACTCTGCTTTACTTAGATTATCTCAATCCTCATCACAACTCTATGGGGTGCTATTATTATGCCTGTTTTACAGGTGAGAACACGAAGGCTCAAAGACATTAAGTTATGTGCCCAAGATTGCACAGCTAGCAGATGTGAAGGACAGGAATTGAATTCAGCTTTGACTCTAGATCTACTCTAGCTACTAGTACACTCAGCCAGGCGCAATGGCTCATGCCTGTAATCTCAGCGCGTTGGGAGGCCGAGGTGGGTGGATCCCCCAAGGTCAGGAGTTCAAGACCACCCTGGGCAACATGGTGAAACTCCCTGTCAACTAAAAATACAAAAATTAGCTGGGTGTGATAGTGTATGCCTATAATCCCAGCTACTAGGGAGGTTGAGGCACAAGAATCGTGTGACCCGGGAGGTGGAGGTTGCAGTGAGCCAAGATTGCGCCATTACACTCCAGCCTGGGTGACAGAGTGGGACCCTGTCTCAAACAAAAAAGCTACTAGTATACTCAAAGAGGCAGTAACAGAGCCAGCAGGGAAGGTCAAGTTATAGAAGCCAAGGTAGGAAATAATTTAAAGAAGTGAGTAGTCAGCCATGACAAATTTTGCAGAGAGATCAAAGGAACTGATGATTAACGAGATCCTATTGGATCTTGGAATTAGATGTGAGGTGAACTTTTCCTGGGCAGTTTGACTAGCAAAATGGTAGTAGGGGAACTAATTGAAGTAGTCTGAAGAGTAATTGGGAAGTGGGAAAGTGGAGGCTTGTTTTCAAGGCATTTGGCATTAAGGAGGAGAGAGAAAGTAAAGGAGGAATTTAGTGAAATGAGCCTGCCTGTGGAGAAAGGGTTCTGGTTTTATGTCAGCATCAGTGGACTAAGATCAGTGCTATGAAGCCTAACTATAAGGGCAGACAGAGGGGGATGGAAGTGAGGTCTGGAGTGCTTGTGTTTTTGGGTAGGGTAGGAAGGTTCACAGAGTGCCTAGAGGGTTTAGCTCTGTCCAGGGATATGGGAGTGAGGAGCCTGTCCTCAGGGCTGTTGCCAATAGCTTAGTGGTAAGTAGGAATGGTTGGCGATGTTGGTGGAACATGGGGACCCTGACTCAGCCATGGGTGGGCGCACAGACAGGGGCATGGTCCCCAGGCAAGAAGGCTGCAATCTTTGGTAGTTCATCTGGGCCTGGGAGGAACACACGGGCAAAGGAGTCCCCTCTGAGGATTTAGGGAGGATTTCAAGGAGGCTGGGTTCCACTTCTTCACAGGTATCTGAGACTGTGGCCTTGGGCTGAGAGAGACGAGCAGAGGTGCTGGATTAGAGCAGATCCTGTGGGAAGAGGCGCTGGACCATACAGGAAGGGGAAGGGCTAGGGTAGAGCTGGGGTAGTGCCTGGGTTTGACACGCTGATAGGCAAGGACCTTGAACAAGTTGTGTTGTGAGGGCAAGGATCCAGCACCCAGCAGGGTTGGTGGTGGGCACAGGGGAGGGGAGCACACTCACCGGACTTGGGGCTGCAGTGTCCCTAAGGTACTGGCCTAGGACCCGGTGCAGGTCTGGAAGTGAGGGCCACAGCACATGCCTCAGTCTCCTGGGGGAGAAGGAAGAGAAGCAGACTGAGCCAGGGCAGTGAATTGGGAGGGAGGAGGAGAGCAGTTGGGATGGGGGAACAGTGAGGGCAGGGAGGAAGGCCTGGAGAGATTAGGGCATGGTCAAGGCAATACAGTCAGGCAGGGGAGTAGAGGTAAGAAGAAAACCTCAGGTAGGGGAGGGAAGTCATTGATGGGCAGGTTCAACAAAGGGTGCTACAGTTTCTGCAAACATTCCAATGAACAGAAAGTGCCCTCTGTCTGGAACACTGGATTCATTCCCTCACCTCATTGTAAGCCTCTGTTCAAATGTCATCCCTGACTATACTGCCTGAAATTCAGTAGTCTCCCTTTATCTGCAGGGGATATGTTTCAAGACTCCCAGCAGATGGTTTTCCTATACGTACATACCTCCGATAGTTTACAAATTAGGCATAGTTGGCCAGGTGTGGTGGCTCAAGCCTATAATCCCAGCACTTTGGGAGGCCGAGGTGGGTGGATCACGAGGTCAGAAGATCGAGACCAGACTGGCCAACATGGTGAAACCCCGTCTCTACTAAAATACAAAAAATTATCCAGGTGTGGTGGCTGCACCTGCCGTCCAAGCTACTCGGGAGGCTGAGGCAGGAGAATTGCTTGAACCCGG